TGTAATAGTGAAAAATGAGAAGCATGCTAAGTACTCCTCTAGAGGAAATACAGACAGTGTGTTATTTTCATGTGACAATACTTCTGCCGTGAAAATGTGTGAGCCAAGGCAAGGCGAGTGATTCACACAGGACCATTCGTATGAAGACTGGAAACACGTAGAGCAGTACAATGTATATTATGGGTACATATATTTGTAAGAGAGAAAGGCATTAAAACATTGGTTGAAACGATAAACACAACTGTAGGAGAGTAGTGTCTGGAGAGAGAGAGAAGGTAACAGGATTGGGGAAGAGCAAAACAGGAACATTAACCGTATCTGCTATGTAGTATGTTTTTAAAAATGAAAACTCTAAAGTGAAATATCAAGTTACTTCACTCAAAATATCTATATCATTGTTATTGAGATTTAATGACTACGATTTTTCCTTAAAAAGGAGCTCATCTTAGAGAACTGGGCAGACAGAGCGCCGTGCAGGGTTAAAGGTGGCATCCGGGTTGCTTTCTTTCCCAGACCCATTTCAAGCTTTGTTCTCCAGGTCAGAGGACTTTTCACCCTCTTAGGTGTTATGATCCTTCTCACGCATTTGGGGGGAACCAAATGTTATAATCATTTACATTACAAACTAAAGAAGCTCTTGGTGTTAATAATTATGGGAAAATAAGATGAAGATTATAACCTAACAAAACAACACAAAACACTCCACGTTTCAGAGACGTGCGGAAAGTTTTTCACATTTCAGTGTATATGACCTGGTCAAAGCCGAGTTAACATCCTTTTAGTGACTAGGTCAGGACTCTTCTGTAACTTCCGCGCTCTCACTTCTGTCTTAACCATGAGAGTTTTCTTAAGAATATACATTCTTTTGATCTGTTATCTCCTTCACTCTTACACTGTTTTCTACCCGGTCAAAAATTATAAAAGCAGGTCCTAAAACACCCTACACCTCAGGATCAGGAGCTTCTGTATGGTCCTAGGAAATGATACTAAATGATTAACTTCCAAATCCTCCCGAAAGCATTTGTGTTATTAGAATAAACCTGAAAACTTAACAAGTCCCAATTTCAAGCAATAGTGAGGAAATGTTTAGACCTTTGGTTTTACAGGAAGCAAAGGAGCCAGTAACATGGGTCCCCAGAATCATACAACCTTCGGAGAGTTATAAAATCAGCCTGCTACGTTGGACTAATGTCTTTCCCTTTTCCACTGACACTAGAAATTCTCCTGATTTTGGCTCTAAGAGTTGTCCATCCCCTATGCTCATTCTTATAATTAAGTTTGCATACACTGGGCATTTAATAAATGCCTGTTCATATAGCCAAGGAAGTTGGCCTTGGTCCCGCTGGATTATATTGTTTCTAGTCCTACTATTCTGATGTCTCAGGCCTTTCAGATAGGAGAAGCTGGCCTCATCACATAGCTGGCCCCTCTCACGGCACCAGCTAAATTCCTGTTGGGCATGCCCTTATTGGTCCTGTAGCATCATTAGGTAGACTATAGACATCTTTTTCAATGGAAAAATTATCAGAGAAACCATTATTTATATAACATTCCAACTATTTTTACTCTTACCTCACCCTAGCCTTGGTTTCCTCCTTAAGCACTAGCTGAACTATGTACGCCATGTACAGTCAGGTCTCCGTGTCTACGTGCCCTCTGTCATGGGCCGCTCTTGGTTTCACTCAGCCATCTATGTTTGGTTGCCTCCTCCACACTGGAAAACTGTTCATAATAAAACTAGCAAACATTTACTGAGCATTTGCTTTGTGCACTGTTCTAAGTACTTGACAGATATTGTCTTTATCATTTCGTATGCATAATAATCATAGGTACTGTTATTATTCCTATTTTACAGATGGGGAAGTAGAAGCACAGGAAGATCTTTATTTAATCTGTAAATTTTCCATGATACTTCTGTGAGGAGCTAAGATGAAATCTGTGAAAGATCTTTGTATAATAAGTGGAGTTAAGTGCAAACATTTTACTGTTGCTTGATCAGAACAAGGCTGTTGAATGAATAAATCAGTTATTACTGAGATACGCCCTGTAGGTAGAATCCCCGGAGTAATGTAGTGAAATGTAAATATGCAAGGCACTGTGTCTGTAACTCAGTAGTCACCCCCACAGTATATTCCAGCTTCCTTTTCCTTCCCTTTTCCTCTAAATTTCAGAATCAAAATGATTGTCTGATTGAATATCTTTAAAAGGTCATGATGAATTATTCTGTAATATTTGAAATGCTATGCTCAGAAAGGTCAACCTTTATTTTTTGGTGTGAAGTACCACATAGATTTGTTTTTCCTGGGCACTTTTTCTTTTTTTCAAAGAAAAGATGGCAAGAGATTTAGAGCAGGGTGCCCTCTTGAGGAAATTTTAGCACCTTTCTTTTCAAAAGTTGACACTGGGTGAAATGAGAAGTTCTGATGAATGATGTCTACTATGAATGAGGCTCAGATACGTGAATCATTACTGAGTAACAAAATACAAGGTACCTGAAGGATTAAGATTCTTAACTGTTATGATCTAATGTAGCAACTGTCAGAATTTTTAAATAACAAGACTGCTAGAAGGTATTTTATTACCTCTAATTCATCAGTCCTTCAAGTAATGTTTACTAAATACCTGTTTTGTTCCAGGAGCTGTGCCAAGCACAATGGTCACTATAACATGGTCTCTGTAGCTTGAGGCTTGTGAGGGAGATCACAGTGAAGGGAAACAAACAAATATACATGTCATTATAAACTGAGAAGAGTAATAGGCATGATATGAAAAGGCGCTAGACCAAGAAGAAAATAAGGGTGGTCTACTTAGGGTGGTCAAGGACAGGCCTCTCTGCAGAAATAACTGAGCTGAGTCAGTTTGCTTTTCAGTTCATTCCAAGTGTGCTATAAACAGTCTTATGGACCCCTTTTCCTAGCTTCGTTCTTTCTTATCTCTGCCCCAGTTGTTGAGCTGGGTTGGATCCCGTCTCGCCCCTGTGGACAAGCAGGCAACTATCATTCATCTTTCTGCACCTCATTGTTGCTCTGACTGGCCCCCTTTGCCTTAGAGCCTCACAGGCTTCACCAAGGGGGCAGGGGTAAGCTTAATTCGCAAAGGTCTGCCTTGCTTATACTGATAGCCCCTCATAGTAGAACATCAATGCATTATAATCCTAAATGGCCAAATTTCCAATAAGGTTAAGGATGGAGAGGATCTCCGAAGATGAAAAGGACAGGTAACCCTGCCCACTATGCTTTAACTTTAAATAGGGAGAGATACTTAGGCACGAAGTAGGCAGAGAACTTCATCCTGCAGTACAGTTTGGTCCTGTTGACTTTGTGGTACTAAGCATCTTAGGAAAGACCTCAAAAGAACTAGTTTTTGCTGGCTTTGTTTTGTTTCAAGGCTCTCATATTACATAGACATACTATACTATACAGTAGTCCCCTTTACTTGTGGGGAATACATTCGAAGACCCTGGGTGGATGCCTGAAACTGAGGATAGCACCGAACCCTCTTTGCGTTATGTTTTTTCCTATTCATACATACCTATGATAAAGTTTAACATATAAATTAGGCACAGTAAGAGAATAACAACAGTAACTAATAATAAAATAAAACAGTTATAACAGCGTACTATAAAAAAATTATGTGAAAGTGGTCTCTCTGTCTCTGATAACTGATATGGCTACTAAGTGACTAACAGGTGGGTGGGTTATACATGGTGTGGATACACTAGACAAAGGGATGACTCTCGTCCCAGGCAGGACAAAGCTGGATGACACAAGATTTCAGCAGACTACTCAGAAATACACATAATTTGAAAGTCATGAACTGTTTATTTCTGTAGTTTTGCATTTAATATTTTTGGGCTGCAGTTGACCACTGGTAACAGAAACCACGGAAAGTAAAACTGCGGATAAGGGGGCTACTATTCTATAATGATTGACCAGGATCCTGCCAGTGTGTTGCTCTAGCCCTTGTAGTTGTTTCTTCTTCCAGATGAGTTGATTCTACCAGATTGGAGGGTTTAGCTGATGTGGAGAGTATTGCCTGCAAATGGATGGCCTATAGTGACGTCTGGGTTGGTGTTTAGGTGACATATGAGTCAGGGACCAAAAGTTTGAAGAAGGTACTTCTACTTTAGTTGTACCTGTAAATACGTGTCTTTATGACCTCCTTATTAACCAGATGACTGTGAACAAAACATTTAACCTATCTGAATCTCACTACCCTCACCTGTAAATTGAGGTTTAAAAATCTCTGCTTAGCCCGGCCTGCATGGCTCAGTGGTTGAGCGTCAACCTATGAACCAGGAGGTCATGGTTCAATTCCCTGTCGGGGCACATGCCCGCATTGTGGGCTCGATCCCCAGTTGGGGATGAGCAGGGGGCAGCCAATCAATGACTCTCTCATCATTGATGTTTCTGTCTCTCTCTCACTCTCCCTTCCTTTCTCTGAAGTCAATAAAAAATAAATCTGCTTATTTCAGAAAGTTATCATATTTTAAATATAAATAATATGTGCTCTGTTGGTCAGAATATGCCGAAACTAATATACTTATTGCTGCTACTAGATAGCAATTTGGAGAATACACCAAAAACTAAAATGCACAAACTCCTTTGACCCAGTAAATTGGTTTCTGATCATTTATTCTTAAGAAAAAAGAAAAAAAAAAAAACTATGTGAAAAGAAATGTACATTGTAGCAGTTTCTATAAAGAAAATATTGGAAATGATATTAGAATGGTTAAATAAAATATGTTGCTTTTTACACAATGAAATATTGACGAGCAACTATGTAAACTATATATGCATATGGAAAGGGATTGGAAGGAAACATAAAAAAATAAAACAATTGATAGAGTGGTAGAATTACAAGTATTTTTCCTTTTTTAATTATTCTGAATGTTAATACTGTAGCAGAATAATTAAAATACTTGAAACACTATAAAATTAAAAAAAGAAAAAAAGGCCCCAAACTGAATTTCTTCTTACCACCTCTTGTTTTTTATTTAGGGAAATTATCGTTTCATGAAACTCTTACTCACACGCAGAGCAAATTGGATGCAGAAGGATCTGGAAGAGATGACTCCTTTGCACTTGACCACCCGGCACAAGAACCCCAAGTGTTTAGCACTTCTGCTGAAGTTTATGGCACCAGGAGAAGTGGATACACAGGATAAAAACAAGGTAATGGACCGCCAAAATCAAAGACACGTAAGAGCAGAAAGCAAATGCTCTGTTTTATAGTATGAAACCTCATGGACAAAGGCCTCAATTCCACTCATGCACATGGTAGAACAATTCCGAGTCCCTACATGCTGCCCTAGTAAAGTATTTCACTTAAAGTCTGTTGTTTATCCTCCTGGCAACCATGTGTAGGGGGTAGTATCATCCCCTTTTTACAGATGGGGAACCAGAAGCTCAAGAAGGTTAAAATTCTGCCCGCTATCCAAGTGGCAGGACTAGAATTCAAACAGAAACCCATTATTTAACAGCTGGTTGTGCCCAGCTGCTGTGGCTCAGTGGTTGAACATCAACCCATGAACCAAGAGGTTGCTGGTTCAGTTCCTAGTCAGGGAACATGCCTGGGTTACGGCTTGATCCCCAGTAGGGAGTGTGTGGGAGGCAGTCAATCGATGTTTCTCCGTCATAGATGTTTCTACCTATCCCTCTCCCTACCTCTCTCTCTAAAAATCAATAAAAATTAAAAAACACACAGCTAGTTGTGATAGTGATCATGGTGGTTAGATTTGTGGTGGCCGATGCCTGGGACAGTGTACTAAGTGCATAGTTGTTGACTGGCCTGCGCTTTGGCATCAGATTTCTTGGATTTCGGTCTAGAAGTTGCGGTTACTTGTTACCTGTGTCCTTAGGCAAATTACTCCTCAGCCTCAATTTTCTCTTTTGTGCAAAGGGGAAAATAGGGTGTTGAAAAGAAAATGAGATCATACATATAACATGTTTAGCACAATGCCCAGTGCAGGGTATGCTTTCAGTAAGTGTTAGCTATGAAATGTTACTCTTCATTTTGGCTCTAACATCCTCTCTGGCATTTATTGCTAGGATCCACTGTCTTCCCTGCTCTTGAATTTTAACATAGTGTATACATTGGTCATTGTTTTCATCAACTGGTTATTGCCCTGATCATTTTTTACAGGGGGAAAAAAGTGGTCTTTAGTTAGACAAGTGCAGTAATCCTCTTTATTTTCACAAGGCATTTGATTATAAAGTCTTGCTCACTCTAACACTCCCATGTAATAAAACTCTTATGATTAAACCCACAATGTTTATGTTCCATAATCCTTTTACTCATAGTGTTCTTCATGTAGTTTTCAGATTTTGTTTAGTGGTAACTCACATAACCTAGAGTTCTGTAATCAACTTTATTATACAGCTTACTATAAACTAATATTATTCCTAACTCAGCATTTCCACAGTGCTAATATTTTGCTGAAAAAAGCACTTTGATAAATCCACAAAAACCATTAATCACTTAAGAAGCTACAAATGTCTTTGGGCTTTATTATGTCTTCCCCAAATATTCTACAAACTTTTTACTGTCTTCCAGTGTCTCTATGTTTTTCTGTATTGAACAAGGATGGGAGGTTATCCAGTGAGACAGATGGAAAATAGATCTACACAGTCCAGGGGGCACAGAGAGGAGAGCAAGACAAACGCCTAGAGCGGTGATTCTCAAAGTATATGAGGGGAAGGATCAGGTCATTTCTTCAATTTCCAATCTGTCACAGACCAGTAATTTTATGACATACATTAAAAATGAACAACAAAAGAACAGCTTGATTAAAAAGGGGCCAAGAACTTGAATAGACATTTCTCCAAAGATACACAAATTGCCAACAAGATGCTCACCATCACTAATCATTAAGGAGAAGCAAATCGAAACCACAGTGAGATACTGTTTCATACCCTTTAGGATGCTCTTATTACACACACACACAAATTACAAGTGTTGGTGAGGATATAGAGAAACTTGAACCTCTGTGCAATGCTGGTAGGAATGTAAATTGGTACAGTCACTGTGGAAAACAGTAGGGCAGTTCCTAAAAAATTAAACAGAATTATCGTATGACCCAATAATACTCTTGCTGTGTGTACACCCAAAAGAATTGAAATCAGGAACTAGGACAGATATTTGTACATCCACTTTCATAGAAACATTATTCAGAATAGCCAAAAAAATGGAAACTACCCAAATGTCCACTGATGACAGATGGCTAGATAAACAAAATGCAGTGGGATATTAGTTAGACTTAAAAAATAATTAAATTTAGACATATGCTACAACATTGATGAACTTTGAAGACATTAGGCTAAGTGAAATGTCAGACACAAAAGGACAAATGTATGGTTCCACTTATGAGGTACCTAGAAGAGTCAAATTCATAGACAGAAAGTAGAACAGTGGTTGCCAGGGGCTGGGAGGAGGTGGGAATTAGGAGTTAATGTTAAATGGAGTTTTAGCTTGGGGATTTGAAAAATACTGTGAATGGTTGCATAACAATTTGAGTGAACTTAATGCCACTGAACCATACACTTAAAAACTGTTAAAATAGTAAATTTTATGTTATATATATCTTTTACCACACTAAAAAAAGAATGACTAGAAAAATAAAAAACAAAAATATAAAAAATACAACCCCAAACTTTTTACTCTTAGATTCAACAGACATAATATTACATTTCAATAAACATATTCAAAACAAACATAACATGGGAAAAGAAAAGAATTACAGAAACTGTACGTATTGCTTATTGAAAATGTAGTTATAGGCAATTCACTGCTATTGTATTTGTGACTTTTTTTGTCCTTCAGTTATTTCTAAATAAAAGGTACAAAGTTAAATAGCAGCCCTTTATATGAAATGCCTCTAAGTACACTTTGAATACCACATATATATAAAGTGTTTATTGTGACAAATGAGCTTGGTTCTTGCTGTTAAATGATCTAATTCTAGATTAGATTGATGACAGTGCTACTTGAAAGGGATAATGTATATCTAAACAGTTTCTGTGTGTCTCCTTAATAAATATCTTGGTAGAAAAAGTTGATGAGAATGCAGAAGAGATTTTGAAGCAATGCCAACCCATTCGTGATGTTCATTTTTAACTTTTATCTGAAATAAAGCAAGTCTTGCTATATTTTCAAAATGTATCTTTCATCAGTAACTAGGTCTAACAATTTATCATTAAAGTTATAGTTATTCTATGATTTCCTATGCATGGATCTTCTTTTTTACAGATAATAAGATTCAAAATATTGTATCAAATTCTTAGGGTGCTTGGTGCAATATCAAGATCACCACTTACTTCGTTAATAGTTATTCATAGATTATTGGGCTGCTTTTCTCTTTCTCAGTATTAGCATTTCTTAGTACCTGGTGCCTAAATGCTGCCATGATGAAGAGGGCAGATCTGGAGGCAAACTGCCTGGGTGAAAATCTCAATTTGGCCACTTACTACCTTTATGTCCTTGAGCAGATTACTTGTCCTCCTTGTGCTCAGTTTCCTCATCAGTCACATGCAAATTCCAGGGTACTTTCTTCCAGAATTGTCATGATGACCACACAAGATAAAATATATAAAACTCTTACAAAAGTGCCTATTACACAGTAAAAGCCTGGGGAAAATTTACCCTGCTGTTATTGTTACTGTTGTTATTCTGAGAATCTCAATTTTGCAGCAAACAGCTCTGCATTGGAGTGCCTACTACAACAACCCTGAGCACGTGAAGCTGCTCATCAAGCATGATTCCAACATTGGGATTCCCGATGTCGAAGGCAAGATCCCACTTCACTGGGCAGCCAACCACAAAGATCCGAGCGCCGTTCATACAGTGCGATGCATTTTGGTGAGTACAGCAGTGCTGCTAGACCTGAGTAGCCTTTCCCAAAAATACAAATCAAAACACCAGTGTAATGCTTTTTATACCTATAAGGGGGAAATGTAGTAAGCTTGATAATACCAAATGGTTAATTTGTGCCAGCATTTGGGAAATAAAAACTTTTACACCTTGTCATGGGTGTGTTCATTGGTACAACCATCTGAGAACAGCGTATCCTTTAACCCAGTAATTCTCCTTCTAGGTTTTTAGTCTAGATATCCTTCAACCCAGTAATTCTCCTTCTAGGTTTTTAGTCTACAGAAAAATCTCACATATGTGCTATTAAGGAAGCACGTTCATTGCAGCATTCTTGTTAATTGTGGGAAAATGTGAGTGACCTAAGTACCTCTCAGTAGGAGAATGGGTAACTACCTTGTGGTTTAACAAATGAACTAGTATCAGCATAGATACCCCAAAGTATACTATTGAAAGAAAAAATTGCCAAAGGATATATGGAGTATATTGCATAAGTGTGAATATTAAGGGCATACATTCACAATTTCTGTAATTTATAGATGTATACATAGGGAGCAAAAGAACAAAGCATACAGCTTTAACTCAATCCATAACAGATACAAAAGCACAAAATATTGATACCTATGTCAATAAATTAAAATTTAAAGATATAGACTGCTTTTTTCTGAATTTTATCACTTTATTATGCTAGAGAGAACATAGAGGTTTAGAAAACTGCTCAGTTAATACTTTTGTCAAATGTATTTTATTGAGGATTCTATGTGTCTGATGTCTCTGGTTCCTTAAAAATAGGATGCTGCTCCAACGGAGTCTTTACTGAACTGGCAAGACTATGAGGGTCGGACACCTCTTCACTTTGCCGTCGCTGATGGGAATGTGACCGTGGTTGATGTCTTAACCTCGTATGAAAGCTGCAATATAACATCATATGATAACTTATTTCGAACCCCACTTCACTGGGCAGCTTTACTAGGTAAGTTGAATGTGAATTAAAAGATCGACAGTAGGAGGAACTGCCTGAGTACAGGCAGCTTTCTGTGCCTTCTCTTTCCCTAACTCTCATCTTCTATTTAATTGTTTTAATTTTTAATTATGTGGCACTAACTTTACACTTAAATCCCTCTGTTCATGCTTAAATTTTAGTAATATAAATGTGTTCTCTGTCATATATTAGTTTTAATTTTAACACCATGTCTTCTAATTTTTATCATAAAAGTAACGCACATTTATTGACAAATATAAATGTAAAATAATCCTCTTTTCACATTCAGTGCCTCTATTTTGGGGGGGGAGGGCTTTAATTTTATGTGTGTGCTATGCAATCATATTTGATCTTTTTCTTTATATTTTCCTCATATGCCTTTTACTTAAGCTTTTTGGGGATCACTTTTTTAGATGAGAGAGTGCATATGTGTGTGTGATTTGGGGGGCAATCTGGGAGTCTTTCTCTTTTAGTGCAGGAGTTGTACCCATTAAGAGTCATTTTTATAATATGTATTATTTGTTATTTTTTTCTGCTATTCTGTTCTTTGAGTATTATTGGTGTTTTGGGTTTTGTTATTTTAAAAGTTTGCTTTTGTGTTTCTGTTTCCTTTGTTTTCTGCTTTTAGGTGTGTGGATTAGGTTTGCTGTTATTTGGTTTTGAATTGCCTAATGTTTCAGGAGGTTATTTAGGTTTTATTAGTGGTTACGTTTAAATTGATCCCAAACTTTTTAAAGTCTGAGTCAAAGTCAAGAGCAAAACTGCATCTGTTGAATCCCACCTATTTAAAACGAGGAGTTAGCACACTTTTATTTATCACTCTTTCAGCATTTGTTAATATAACTGAGGTTTTCCCCCAATTATTATTGTGGCCTTAATTTTTAAATTACACGTCTCTTCTGAAAATGAATTTTTACATGTGCATTCAATTTTATAATCTGATTTATTATTGTTATTTAGCGATCATTTCAATGTGCAGTTGCATCCCTTTTTCCCTTTTTTCTGCATTCTGGGAAGACTTCACAGATTTGTCTCCACATCACTAAATTGACTTTTTGTTCCGTCAGTTCTGCTTTTTTCTGCCTCTTAGAGATTGTATTTGATTTCCTTCTTTTATCCGTATTTCCTTTTATCTCTATTTCCTTTTTTAATTCCTTCCATCACCTTTTTATTTCAGCCCATTTTCCACTTAAGATACTCTGTGTCGTTTCATTGAGGCCATCTCTTAGCACTTAGTTGAAAATGCTGAGCAGTTTCCTGAAATTTTCCTCTGGATCCTTCTCTAGATCACTTTCTGAGGGGTGCTCTTCATCTTTCTGATGGTGTTTTGCCCTCCAAACAAGATAAGATGTGTTTCAGTTGGCCACGTGGCATAGGTTGCCTTTGATCCTGCTGTGTCTGTGTCCTGGAGAAGTCTGCCTCAGACCATACTGGAGAGCAGGTCCACGAGCACAGCGCTCACCAGAGCCCTTCTCCCTGCCTGGCTTTCCTGCAGCACGCCCTTGCTCTGCTGATGTGGCATCTTCTTCATTGCCGCTTCTTCAATATGCTGAAGCGAGAGAATTTATGAAATTCAGGTTTAAAAATACACTGCCACCAGGTTTGTTCATTCTCTGATCCTTTCTACAGTTCTTCACTTGTGGAGACCACATCCTGCAGAATGCACTCCAGAATTCCTCCGCCACCACCTCCTCATTCCTGCCCACTTGCTTTCTGGGATTTGAAATCATTGCTTAGATGTTTAAAGACTGGGGGAGGGAGGTTAGAAGGGATGGATATGAGGCCTCTGCGATCACAGGAGATTGTGTTACGGTTTGCCCTCCTGGACAGAAGAGAACAGCCGTGCAGTTTAGATTGGTTGTGCAGTGGGACCTGGAGACTAGACGGCTGCATGGGGCTGGCTTTCAGTGCACCTTCCACCTTTCCTATGGGCAGTTTTATAAGCCGAAGCCAGGGAATGCAATAAGCTGATACTGAATATTCTTTTCCTCAATCTGGCAATAGTAATTAATGTCATTTCCTCCCTGATTGAAGATTTAGGTTTTTAATGTTGTAGTTTTTGCCTTTGTTCTACAATATCATAGTATTTTAATGAGAAGTTAGAAGAGACTGCACCAAGGGCCACTACTCAGAAACCATCTTGAATGTTGTATTATGTGCCAGTGATTTCTCTTACCCCTTTCCTTTAAATAGATTATAAATTAATTAATGTTCTTTGTATGTGATCGCTACCTTGTTGTGTCTGCTTCCAGGCCATGCACAGATTGTTCATCTCCTTTTAGAAAGAAATAAGTCTGGAACCATCCCATCCGACAGCCAAGGAGCAACACCTTTGCACTATGCAGCTCAGAGTAACTTTGCTGTAAGTAAAACGTGACAGTTATCTTTTTTCTTAATTAAATTTTAATTTTGAAATGGTTGTACATTCATAGGCAGTTCTAAAAAATGAAACAGCGAGATCCCATGTTCCCTTCACCCCATCTACCTCAATGGTAACATCGTGCAAAAATATAATACCATCTCATAAATAGGAAATTGGCACTGATACAGTCCACTGGCCTTATTCAAATTTCACCACTTTCCATATGCTTTTTTGTGTTTGTACAGCAGTTATTGTTCATACTGTTAACTCTGAAATGCAAGTGATAGTCTGGGTTTTTATAAAATTGTTACTCAAATGAAGTTTTATGCAGTTTTTATTTTAACTCTTCAGGGTAATATTTGCTTAACCTTAAGTGTACTTCATCTTTTTGTTACTTTTATAACACTAAGGACAACTTAGTGTTCAGCAATCTACAATTGTCCTGAAGGCAGTATGGCTTTAGAACTAGGCAAACCTTGGCTGCACTTCTGACTGTGCTACTTGCTAGTCATGTGACCTTGCACAAGTTTCTTAACCTTTTGAGTCTTAGTTTCTTCATACGTAAAATGATGATCATTGTGCCTTTTCTTTCAGGATTGTTGTAAGGATTAGAGAAAGTTATGACAAGTGCCTTCTGTAGCCTTGGCATTGAGCAGGTACTCAAGAAATAGAATGCATTCTTATTATTACTAGTGCTAATTATGTACATTATATATCTGAGAAAGCAATCATATGAATTATTGATATTTCCAAAGATATTGAATAATACTAACAGTTCTTCACTTACCACCCTTTATAATTTACAAAGCACTTTCTCCTCCATTATTTCAATCCAGTCAGAACATGGTAGTGTCTAGGCTGCTTCAGCTTCCTGAGCATGAGGGGCAACCAAGAACCAGAGACTCATCCAAAGAGGCACACATTAAAGCAGTCACAGTTGATTTTGATGCCTTCTACATGGTATGCATAATGAAACCCTTGGTTTTATTAAATTATAAGAATGCTATCATCAGCATAGTATAATTCTATCTTCCTGACCTTCCCAGCTGCACCATTGAATACTCAGATTGCTAAAATATCTTATTTCCACCCTTCTTACTCTCTGGTATTCACAAGAATTATAGCTATAGTCCTTTCTTCCTGACATTCATAAACATTTATTTATCACCTAGAGTTTTGGCAAACCATTATCTTCTTTTATCTTCCAAGAGCTCAGAAAAATACAAAGTAGATTTTGAGGAGGATCTCTTTCTTATTACAAATAGATAAGATAATCAGTTAGCCCAGTCTAGTCAATCTACGAAAATCAGAACACACTCCATGTTTCAACATAGGACTGTGAGATGGAACATGCTATGAGATAGGTCACATTATCTCTGTTTACAGATGAAGAAACCAAGGTTCCAAGAGATTAAATGACTTTCCCAGATCCTGAACCCAAGTCTTAGACTCCAAATTTAACATATGTACAGATACCAGTAATTAAGTAACTATACTAATGGGACTAAGAAAGAATGGTAGAACATTGACTAAATGGATGTTCAGTCAAAGAAATACTTGTTTTAGATAATCTGCCAGTCCTAGAGATGATTTTTTAATAATTATGCAAAATTCTAAGTTCAATTTCAAGTCCCTTGATTTTCTTGGACTTTATTAATTTATAAGACAATTCACTTCTCTTTTTGAAAAACAGCAACAGTAACAAAAAAAAGACACCCTACAGTTATTTCCTTTGATTCAAAAGTAGGGAAAAATACTTTGCTTCTTAGTTGAAGTCACATATAACAGTGGCTTTGTTACCGCAAAAAATACTACTCTCTTGTCTCAAATTTTTAAATGAAGTTTTCTTACAGGAAACAGTTAAAGTCTTTTTAAAACATCCTTCAGTAAAAGATGATTCAGACCTCGAAGGAAGAACATCCTTTATGTGGGCTGCTGGGAAAGGCAGTGATGATGTCCTTAGGACCATGTTGAGTTTAAAATCTGACATTGATATCAACATGGCAGACAAGTATGGAGGTACAGGTAAGAACTGGTAGACATAATTGATTTGCTTTCATTCATGCTCCCAAATGTAGATGATGCTATAAAACTTGTACAATAGTATGAAACCGGACACAGTGGATCTGGGCTACCTTCACTACTTGAGCCAAATTAAGCAGAGACAAGGTTGAATCATATATGAGCATTTATTCCAATAATGCCCGTAGTATGGAGAGAGCAGTTGGTCACCCTGAAAACTCTGCTCTCCCACCTCCTACTAGCTGGCTGATTATATAGGGATAAGAAAGAAAGCTGCATGCAAGGGGGAAGAAGGGGGGAAGGAAAATGGCTTCAGGGTCCATGGTCTGTGTGTCTCCTTCCAGGGTCTTGAAGTCTCATAACAAGGTAGTTAATTTTCAATGGTATTAAAACCCAGTTCCACTAGTTCCTGGGACTGAGAATGGTCAGCATTCCTGAGGCAAACTCCCGGAGGGGGTCAGGGTCCAGGCATAGCAACAAAATCAATTTGTCTCCTGTCCTTTTGTCTGTTCTCAAAATGTATTTTCTTTTCTGAGTAATGGACCATCGGGCCCCAAGGGTCTCTTATCTTTTTTACAGTCCTGTTTTTCTTCTTGCAGCACATACTCCAATTTCCCAGAGTCTGTAGGAAAATCTCTTATCTATAGTTAGGAAGGTAAATGATCATTAAACAACTATAGTCTTATTATTGGGTGCCCTTCCCCCATCAGTACCTTAAAATCATTGTTCCTAATCTAATATTGTTTGACTTTCATCTGTACATTTTTAGTTTACGTTGCCAGGATATCACTCAAAGGCCTTATTTCCTCCAAGTATTATGGCTAAAATTGGCCTATGTTTCTACCAGGTGAATGGTGGCATTTGGTTTATAACCCTGGTTGCTCCTTAGATATAATTATGGGAACTCTTCTGACTATCTTAGTGTAAAAAAGCATAAACCTGTACTTTAAAACTATGCATATTTAGTAGTTATTAATTACATTTTCAAAAATTTAGAGTTATTTTAAGGAATGTACACATCTAAGTATATTCTCATCCATATTTTCACACAGATAAGAATATCCTCACCAGTCTCATTTAATTTGCTCTTTTCTCAGATTTGAATAGCATTACCTCATCCTGCTATTTTAGAGATAACCTCCCATGACTCTAGAAGCTTCAAAGCTGCAAGTCAGCTTTGCATCAAAAGCTCTTACTAGTTGCTTCTTTCAGTCTCTTTCTCTAATTAAGAGAGTCCTTTAACTATGTGCTGGTTAACAAACACATTTTTTAGCATTCACTGTCAGCTGGAGGTCTCCTTGTGTACTGTATTTTAATTGCAAGTCAGAAAGAAAAATCACACAACAGCATAATAACACTGAGTAGAATAAATAGTCAGCCTCAAGCTTCTCAATATTATGTTTTCTTATTTGTAGAAACATGCCAGAGCCATTTGCATCTATGTGTTGTCCTGGATAAGATCTTTCTTTGCCACCAAAACCATTGGTCCAGCTCTAGGGGAAGAGTGGAGAGGGAAGTCGCTGCACCTAATAATCTCTCTCCCTACACCTGTACCACCACACCTTCTAAATTATTTTTTAAAGAGTTTTTAGGTAATATCAAAAAAGTTTTGCCTTTTTTTCATCCTCACCCAAGGATTTACTTATTTTTTTATTTTTATTTTTATTTTTGTAGAGAGACAGGAAGGGGGAGAGAGACAGAAAGAAACATCGACATGAGAGAAACATCGATCAATTGCCTTCTGTACACAGAGGAGCTGGCAGAACTGGCTTTTTCTACCTGCTGTGCTACAGCTCCTTGCCTTCCTTAAACATAGTCATTCCTGTCCTGTACTGGCCTTTCCCTTTGCCCAAGCTACTCCCTCTCCAGATTGCCACATTTCTCTCTTTTATAATTCAGGTCTCAACTTAAATGTCAGCTCCTTAGCAACACTTTCCCTAACCACCAATCAGAAGTACTCCTTTTTATTACTTATTACTTCAATTATACCATTCATCACTATCTAATACTTTCTTGTTTATGTATTTGGGGTTGGATTTTTTGGGTTTTTTTGCTTCCCCTATTGGAATGTAACCTTATCTGTTTTATTCCCTGCTGAATTCCCATCATTACACTAATACCCAGCCCATAGTAGGTTCTCAACAAATCCCCAGGAATCTGCAATTTTATAGGCATCCTACGTTCTGATTCATGGGTCACACTTTATGAAAGAAACATTGTTCCTAGGCACTATAGAGCCATAATACTTAGAAAGAATTGGCCCAGGCCTCTAGTCATCCACGCAAATTCAGCAGAATTTAAAGAGTGAATTTAAATAGAATTTAAAGAGTAACCTAAAGAGTGGTGGCATGAGACAAGCACTGGAGTGGAGCAGCATAGGCAAGGGCCAGCCCAACATGAAGCTCACATATAGTCACAGTTAGTCTTTCAAACCACATTCCATCTCAGTGTTCTCTCCAGTGCTGAAACAAATTGCTGTTTCATAAATTGGGCCCTGAGGAAATTGCTGACTTGCCTTTGGATCCATGTTGCATGAAAAATGCAATCAGTGCAGTAAGATGTGCAAACTCTCAGTAGCACGTGTAACCCACTGAAGGAACGATTGATGTCTCCTGTCACACATCCCTCGAGCACATGCTTATTTAGTGTGTTGGTGGCAGAATTGCCGGCATCATTTAAATTACTTGTCATTTTTTTGTTTTTGTTCTCTTGCTCTCTCAGAAAGAGGAAAAATAGTAAACTAGTAACTGAGAAGAGGGGGCCATTTCAGACCAACAAGATGGAAAGGAAGAAAACCGTGAGATAAGAAAGGTAGAAGGAAAGGGGGAAGTGTGAGTAGTACACAGGAATAGAAAGGAAGATAGACATCTACAGAAGTGAAAAGTAGAGAATCCTTAAGCTCAGATTGCATTTAGCCAAAATGATGGGGAAATCAAGAGGAAATATACATAGTTAGAATAATAAAGAGGTGAAGTTGTTATTAAAGAGTTTATCACCTTCTCTTGCTCCCTTTTCAGCTTTACATGCTGCTGCCCTTTCTGGCCACGTCAGCACCGTGAAGTTATTATTGGAAAATAATGCTCAAGTAGATGCTACTGATGTCATGAAACATACTCCACTTTTCCGAGCCTGTGAGATGGGACACAAAGACGTGATTCAGACACTTATTAAAGGTTGGTTATGAAGAGTGCTCCTAATAAGTTACTCTCAAAAGGTAGGAATTCTTGCATTCGCCATTTGAAATGTACAGCCTTATGTGGCAGAGCCACCTGGGTAGAAGGATGGAAGGAAGAGCCCCCCACCCCACCTGGCTTCTGGAAATGCAAGGGCCTAGCTCCACCTGTTGGTAGTTGTGGGAGTTTGGCAGTCACTTCCCCTGCCTTATCCTGTTTTATTTTCTGTAAAAGGGAAATGATGCCTACCCTTACCAATGTACAGGCTTGTTGTAAAAATCTGAAGTAGATAACACACGTGGGAGCATAATGCTAAGCGTGGAGCATTTAAGGGACTATTACATATTTTTTAAAAGTTTGATACATGCTCTGTATATTAGTCATTTTCATTATATTCTTGCTTTTCAGGTGGAGCAAGGGTAGATCTAGTTGACCAAGATGGACATTCTCTTCTACATTGGGCAGCGCTGGGAGGAAATGCTGATGTTTGCCAGATATTGATAGAAAATAAGATCAATCCAAATGTGCAGGATTACGCAGGAAGAACCCCTTTGCAGTGCGCTGCTTATGGGGGGTATATCAACTGCATGGCTGTGCTCATGGAGAACAACGCAGACCCTAACATTCAAGACAAAGAGGTAGATGTCCTGCGTCTTTTCTATATTGCCTACTCCGGGTAGAGTATTTTTTCTTTGTTCACTGAAATTAAGTAAAATGACAGTTTGCCAAATGAAGAGATTCCCTTATTGTAATTAAGTAATTTGGGGAGAAACTTGTTTATTTTTTGAGCTAGCATAAATAGCTGTGTGTCCAAAAGTACCTGTTGCAAATGTACTTGATTTTTGCTCATGCTCATAGGGGAGAACAGCTTTGCACTGGTCCTGTAACAACGGGTACCTTGATGCCATTAAACTGCTGCTAGACTTCGCCGCTTTTCCTAATCAGATGGAAAACAACGAAGAGCGGTGAGTAAGCTGATGATAAAAAGAATGCATTGATGCTCATATCACATCCTTTCTGCCAGATAAAAAAAATCTCAAATTTAGGTACTGGTTCAGCCCGGCCAACATGGCTCAGTGGTTGAGCATCGACCTATGATCCAGGAGATCGCAGTTTGATTCCCGGTCAGGGCTCATACTTGGGTTTCAGGCTCGATCCCCAGTAGGGGGTGTGCAGGAGGCAGCCGATCAATGACTCTCTCATCATTGATGTTTCTATCTGTCTCTCTCTTTCCCTCTCCCTTCCCCTTTCTGAAATCAATAAAGATATATATTTTTTAAAAATAGATACTGGTTCAGAAATAATAAGTATAGTCATAAGGAACCAGAAAAAAAAAATAGCAAAAGTTCCATGCAGTGTCTACTTAGAACCTTAGGACTTTAAAGCTCTTCAGAATGTTAGATATCACCTAGAGTCAGCTCACATTTTACGATGAGGAAACTTCCATGCCGTCCGGCTGGTGGCTAGGATAAAGTCAGGGGGTCCTAATTGACCAGGACCAGGAATCTAGTTAGGCCAGTGGCACATGTAAAATAGTCAAGAAGTTCCTCTTGATGAAGGGGATATTATCACTTACTTAGTGGACCAAAGTGCTACCATGTAGCATGAAAAAATGAGAAGCTAAGCTGAAAGTTCAAGATTTTAGTCTCAGTACAGATTTCCTTAGTAATATGAGATCCACAGAGTTAGGCTGGGGTTGCTCCCCAAGGACCCAGGCCTGATAAAAAGCACCAGACACAGCGTGACATCTAAGCAGAAGAGACTCTTGATGGTGTTGGATATAGGAAGGGTCTAGTAGTTTGTAGGTAAAGACTAAGTTTGTAATCAGACTCCCATACCTGTACTTGCCCCAGCCCAGGTCTGTGCTCTAGATTTCATTGTTTGTGGAGGCTCTAACTAAGGTGGCCCCTGCTATGACACCATCCCCACCCTCTTAGCCACCACCACCAGGTCTTTCTTCTGTCATGGAAACTTTGAAGAGAAAGAAGGACTTTCTCTAGGGCAGCTGTCTCAGCAGAAACGTGCTCCTCCTGCCTGGGGCCCCCCCTTCATCTTCTCCGCCCCTTTCAGAACCATTGTCTTCCAACTCGGTCTTCTAAAGCCTGTCTTACCTGCCTCTGAAGCCTTTCTTCCCTCAGACTGTCTTCACTGCCTCCATTTCGTCATGCTCGCCATTCATGCCTTTGCAGCCTGGCTTCCATCTCCACGCCTGCTGAAATCTGTGTCTGAGTGGTCGCTGACCGGTTCCTGATTGAAAGTCATAGTTGTGCCCTCTGTCCACGCTCCCTGGCCTTTCTGCACCCTGGCTCTGCTGCCTCGTCTTTACCGAGGCTCTGTCTTCTCTAAGCTGCTGCACAGTTTATTGTCCTGACTCTCCTCCTCTAATCACGCCTGCCCCTTCTTCATTGCTTTTGGCTCCTCTTCTGTTTTTTGTTCTTTAAATATAAACATTCTTCAAGGACTGGATCTCTTCTCTCAGCCTGTCTCCTCTGGCGATCTGACCTACCACTGACACTTCAGCAGTCCCCTGGGTCCTGGTGAGATCTAAAACTACATCTCAGACTCAGGAGCTCTCCTTGCTTCACACTGTCATCTCTTCATTGCCAGCATCATTGTCTAAATGAAGCTCTCTTTGCCTCTTTCTGGGACTAGCACAATGTCTCCTTGCCGCTTTCCCCCTTGTGATCTTTTCTCATTCAATTCACCCGCTTCCAAAGCAGCTTTGCTAAATCATGTTTCTCATGGAATTGTTAATCATGTCACTCTTCTGTTCAAATGCCGTCTCATCTAAGGAGATTGTTCTGGTCCCACAGGCACATGTCCCAAACTTGGTTCTCCCCTACACTGTATTTTTACAGCACTTGACACATTTCACCTTGTATTGTTATTTTACATAACCTGTCTTCCCTATTAGCAGAGAACTCCTGCAGATCATGGTCATCTCTGCATTGCTTATAGTGCTTTTCATGAAGTGGATACTCAGTAAATAACTGCTGTGTTTTCAGGTCTTTGTTTCAAGCTCTTAGTAAGCATCACCCTGCCTTCCTACCTGCATTAGAAACTTCTGGAATTCTTAGAGCACATGCAGAATCAGATAAAGCGGACTCATATGTCTTACTTCAGGAACAATTATTTAAGAACTCATGCTCTCTATTATAGTCATATGACAACTGCAAAGCAAAAAAGATTTGAAGATTTAGGGGGTTGAACATTTGAGGAAGCTGGAAAGCCAAGTGGAATTTTCAAGGCTGAGGTTTTGACATTAAAGCAGATGTGTGAGAAAGCTAAAGATTTCTCCCTTTGAAATCCTAGAAACAAAAGGAAAAGTTTAAGAATCCTAGGAATTAGTGATGATTTATTTCTATAAACATTTATTCTATTACAGTGTTTATTTACCGCATGACTATTATTTTTTAGGAAACTGTAAAAAAAATTTTTTTGCAAGTCAATTCCCATTTATATGTGAAGCACTGAATTTCAGACTTAAGTAAGCTATGAATTAAGGTGCTTACTGCCTCCTGGAGAAAACATATGTTAATTACAGACCAAAAGACCAAAGGAAAAACCCACCTAACTGTCCTTCCCAATCTATAGATGAAAAGAGACAGTGGCAATATTCCAGGCCCCTTTAATGTTTCATCAGCAATGCACCTTGATGTACAAATGTCAGAACTTGGCACTGCCTTTTATGTTTATTGACATTCCGGTTTAGGCATTCTGCTCGTCCCATCAGACCATTCCCACTTGGCAGATCCAATTGTATCTTGTCTCTTGTCTTTATCTACATTGTTTCTTGACTGGTTACCATCAATGTAGGGCTAATTTTTACTTCTCATGCATTGACACTAACCCCTTGATGTGCACTGCATAGACATAATTTTTGCCAGCTCCTGCTGGCTTTCAGTCAATAACTATCTGACAGCCACACTCTGACATCGATGGGAATATTCACAGCACTTGAATGTTTCTAAATTGAATTGGGGGTAAAGAAAGATTCACTAGTAATAATCACAATATGGTCACTTGCTTGAATTCAATCTTAAAACCTTGCTAGATATTTGGATTCTGTTTTTTATCAAAAATTGACTGAGAATGCTAAGTAAACCAGTTGTAAAAAGAAAAGACATTTTTTAGAAAATTGGGGGGGAATTTGAATATGGAGTGGGCATTGGATCTTCCCAAGGAATTCCTGTTAATTTTGTTAATACAGTCATAATATAACATTGTGGTTATGCTTTATTATTTACAGATGAACACTGAAATGTAGGAAGATGAAATGATAGGAGTTCTTGGATTTGCTTTAAAATACTTTAGCAAAAGTAAAAAGGAAGGGCTTGGATGAAGCAAATGTGGCAAAGATCTTGCTAATTGTTACACTGGGACGATGAGTGTGTAAAGCGTTATGGTGTTATACTCTCTACTTTTTATGTTTGAAATTTCTCCTAATGAAAGTACAATTTTTTCATAATAAAAATATTAAAAACATTTGAAATGCAATTTCCATCCACAAACAGCCTGAGAGAGTAAGTTCTTCTTCCCGCCTCCCTTTCACCTGTTACAGATGAGAAGACAGGAGCTCAGAGAAGTGAAGAGAATGCCCCGGTCCTGCAGGTCTGCTGACTCCCAGTTCAGCCTTCTTTAGGATGTATTATGCTACCTGTTACTTCCTTTTGTCATATTTGAAAGTAAAGGCTTAGCTTGGGCCTTACTTTCATAAACCAGATTTTGATAACCCTCTTTATGTACTATATGAAAGACACTACATTTTAATTCTAGAAGAAGTGATCAAGCTTACTAAATATAGGTTATTCGAATGTTGATTTTAGAAGTTTCATTCTATGAGACTTATACTCAATAATGGATAGATGTGCTGTAGAAAGATTATTGAACAGGGAGTCATTTGCTCTTAGTTCCAGTCTGGATTCTGCAGATAACTAGTTACATAGCCTTAAGCGAGTTGCTTAATTTTTCTGGATCTGGTTATACACTAAATGTCCTCTAAAATTTAATTAAATGCTACTATTGTGTGATGACCTTTCCCATTGAATATGTAGTTAAATTTTTGGAAGTTCTGAATTTACAAAATGCTACCTACTTATAAAAAATGTTTAAAGTTTATATAGGCACCTCTACGCATGGCCTTCTGGTCCCTGAATAGTACTGGCAGGTTGAGCTGTCTTTAAATGGGGGTTCCTTAATTTTAGCATTTGGGGCTTCCTTCTGAATTCAGAGTTTCTTTACTGAAGTAGCCAACCACCCTTTGCTTACACTGACAGCCTTGTCCTGGTAGGTGAATTTTGGAGAGAGATCATTTTTTTCTATAATCATTGGATGATCTTCTGTGTCTAATGATGCATCCATATAATCATCATTTATTCCACCTCAGAAATCAGCTGATTATTTCCTCCTAACATCTCTTCTTGCACTGAATTAATAACAGTCACTCAGAGAAGAATCGTATCAGTGGCAGCCATTAGGTGGCTATAAATACTAGTTTGGTTCCAATGGAAGTAAGATTTATGATAAGTGACTATAGCGTCACAAATCATACTGTGATGTATGTCCTATAATAATAACAGTAATAGCCGACACATATAAACTCCTTCCTTTGAGCCAGGCACAATGCCAATCTTTACCTTTATGTCATTTTCTCCTGAGCCAGTTGAAATTTAAACATATAACTACATGACAATCATATCCATCTTTTCTAAATAATATATTTATCAAAAAGGTGCTATCTGTCCACTGTACAAAATTTAAAAGGCATAAAAGGGCATTGAGTGAAAACTGAATGTCCCTCCTGCCCTTGCCTCTGAGACAGCCAGTCTCCCCCTCAGAGGCATCACCGTCACCAGTTTCCTGGGAAACTTCTGGAGATGTTTCATATAGGTGAATATATAGGGGTATAGTCTTTTTTGTAAAATGGAGCATGCCATAGTACTCTTCTGTTTCTTACTTTTTTCTTTTTTCTTTTTCATGTAGTAAGACATCCTGGAGATTGTCTATTCATATACTTATTTATTTATATTCTGCAGTAAAGGCTGCGTTGTACTCATGGCTTTGTTGCATGGACGGCCCGTGCTTTATTTAACCAGCCCTCTGTGGGTGGATACTGAGGTCGTTTCCATTCCTTTACTATTTCAAGCTGTGCTTCTATGAGTGTCCTCGTACATAAAGCATTTCACAAATGAGAGCAACCTGTAGGATAAATGCCTGTAAGTGAAATGGCCATGTTGAAAGGCAGAGGCGTAAATAATTTGCATAGATATGCCAGATTGTTCTCCCTAAAGATTAAGCTAGTATGTGAGACAAGAGAGGCTGTCTCTCTGCATCCTTGCCAACACAGTATGTTCTTAAACTTTCTGATCTTTGCTAATCTAATTATTAAAGTACTCTCTCATATGAGTCTTAATTTATATTTCTTTTTTTGTAATTTTTTAAAAATTATTTTTAATATATATTTTTTTATTTCAGAGAGAGGAAGGGAGAGGGAGAGATAGAAACATCAATGATGAGAGTCATTGATCAGCTGCCTCCTGCACGCCCCCTACTGGGGATCAAGCTGTAACCCGGGCATGTGCCCTGACCAGGAATGGAAACTCGATCTCCTGCATTATATAGGTCGATGCTCAACCACTGAGCATGCCAGCCGGGCAATTTGTATTTCTTTTAAATGCATGAGATTGGACATACGTTTAGGAGCCATTAGTACTTCCTGTTTGGGAACCCTTTAACCTTTGTGTTTGGTGTTTTTGCCCTGCAAAGTTTTTATTTTTATGTAGTTGAATTTATCATAAGTTTTCTGAGTTTTGTATCTTAAAAAAAAAAACTTCCCATTAAACGTTTTTAAAAAGCTTCCATGATTTCTTCTAGTACATTCATGATTTCTTTTATATATGTATATATTTAGATCTTTGCTTCATTCAGAATTTATTTTAGAGTAAAATATGTTAAAACATTTTTTCCCCAGATGGCTACCCACTTGTTGCAGCATTATTTAATAATTCATCCTTTCTCCAGATAAAGGGCCATCCTCGTCATATACTAAATCTCTCCATTTGGAGGTATATTTTTTTATTTCATAAGCATTAACTCTCAGTAATCATGGGCTCAAATTATGAAGCTCACAGAATATTATTTGCAGTACTTTTTCAGATAGGAGCAAGGAATATGGGAAAGGGGAAAAGTGATCATGTTCTCACAGCCCCCAATTTGTGAGCAAAACTCAGGAACTGACATGGTCAGCAGCACAGAGCACTTGACTCAGCTTCACCCTCACTTTGTGCACCTCGGAGAAAAGGTGCGCCCTGGAGTACAGGAAATAGTGTTGCCCGAGGAATGTTCCACGTCTTGGCATGCCGCTTCCTTTTCTTGCACATATTGCCAGTTTAACTGTGCCTTGAACTACATTCCAACGCTTTGAAACCTCTTCCTGCCCCAGGTACACTCCCCTTGATTATGCTCTGCTCGGCGAGCGCCACGAAGTGATCCAGTTCATGTTGGAGCACGGCGCCCTGTCCATTGCAGCTATCCAGGACATCGCCGCCTTCAAAATCCAAGCTGTCTACAAAGGCTACAAGGTCAGGAAAGCTTTCCGAGACCGGAAGAACCTCCTCATGAAGCATGAGCAGTTGAGAAAAGATGCTGCTGCCAAGTAAGTCCTGGCTGTTAGAGATGGGTCCTCACAGCGCAGAATCAGGGTTGAGGGGACGGGGTGGGGGGAGTGGCCAGAGAGGGAATCAGGAGAGAATCTGAAATAACTTTGATATCTGTACCCATGTCACCTTCCCCTTCTGCTCAGCAGTCCTTCAGAGGACTGAGGCTGAAGTGAAGGGTGAAGGCCTAACCTCCACCTGGTGACTGTTCCTCGGTTACCCAGGGACAGACTACTGCCACAGCCACCCATGGGAAGGAGTTGGAGGGTGGCAGTGCTACCCACAGTGAGCTGCAAAGAGAAAACTGGTCTTCTCGCCTCTCCCGCCTTCCCAAAAGAAATTTCCATAGTGTCTATCGTACTTCCACTACACTAGTCTAGTTTTTATTTGATTAAAGCCACCAAGTTATATAACTTGCTTTCCCTGACCTGTTCCTTAACAAATTTATACTAAATGATGTAACTTACTCAAGAAACATTGATTGAATTCTTACTGTACATACAAAACTCTTGGCTGGAGCCTACAGAGAAAATAGTAAATAAAAGGAAAATACTTGCTTCGAGGATCCCACACTTTTTTGAATAATGATACAAAATGTGCAAAATAGTCCTATGTGCGTATTACACATTGTGATTATTTTACCGTAGATGACTGATTGTAGATTATGCTTCGATTTGCCTTTTCTTTGATACCTGTGTTGGGTATTTTAAATAGCAGGAGGGTATCACTTTAGCAGGTATAGAGACCAAAACTTCTGATGATAAAGGTGCAGACCACAGGCCGACTCCTGAGGGATAACTTCTGGGCTGTATCTTGAATGTGTCCAAATCTTGCATCATTCCAACTCTTAATTCCTTCCATATCTTGCCCACAAGGGGGAGGCATAAGTGTAATAAATAGCAATTAAAAATAAAAATAAAAGGCAAGATAAGCCATGTTAGCAAGAAGTTAAATACCACCGTGAACTGGAACACAACCCAGAAGAGCAGCCTTCGCTAGACAAAATTGATAGAAGCATTGTTTTCTGTGCCTCTGAAGCTGCCAGAGCAGGTGGCGCCCTAGGAAACATTGTTTTGCATTGCTCTCTACGTGAGGTTCTCTCTTCTTCACTTTTCCCGAAGACCCCAGCATTAGTGCAAAGCCTCCACATGCCTCTTCTTATCAAAGTTCTCTGCATGTGAGCGACAACTGTAAGTAGCTAATACATGTAACAAATTATCCTGAGTTGCAAGTAAATATTCTTTGCAAAGGATGGAATTTTGTGTTTCCTTCCAGTGGTGTTTCTGTAAACTCCAGTTTAATGTGTGAGAATCAATTTTCAGAATTTGAAGTCATATCTGAGTATGAGGTGCGACTCTACAAAGGCAACGGGACTGACTTTGTATGTCCCCCCAAAGGAGCATATTAATCCAAACACAATTCACTTTGTTTTTGGAGAGAGGGGACCTTGGGGTCCTCCTTCCCCCTAAGCTCCCTTACCAGCGGAATGGAAGGGTTGTGGTAGAGGGGAATGAAGACCTGGGTTCAAATCCCACCTCTGATGCTACCTTGCGATGAGTTGACCACAGCATTTCTCTCTCTGGGCCTCAGCTTCTTCATCTGTGTAACATGACAGATCAGGCCAGTGGATGTCTAGGCACTCTCCAGTCTGAGGAAACCCCCCACATCTTCATCGTTGGTGACCTCAGCCTCCCTGTCCTTTGCCTCTGGTGCTGCCCAGAGGCCGGTTTCCTGGGGCCAAGAGTTTGGATTCAGTGTAGAGTTGGGCACTGAGAACACATTTGTCAAAAGATCATCTATACAGAGCGAAGTGTTTCAAGTAGTGACACTTAAAAAGTACATAATAGTTTATGATATTTTTCCCCTAATGTGGCCTTTTGTAACTCCCAGCCCAGAGGGCTTGAACCACAGGAGATTTAGGGAATGTCTAGTTCTCCCCTCCCCACCTTTCACCCTTTTACTTAGTATCTAATTAGTCTCACTGCTGTGGAAGGTAGGTCCTCTTTGTCCTTAATTCTTAGTTTCTGAAGCTCATTTTTTGAAACCCTTTTAAATGAGAACTGCGCTTACTGTTTTTAATATTTGAAATTGCCCAAACTGAGAAATTGTGATCTCCTTTACTTTCTTTCCTTTACCGAGTGCCATTATTGGAAGTAAACAAGTTTTTTACACTTTAAGCATCACCTCCTACAGTCATTGTAGCGTAGATCTCCAAGAGAAATTTGTAAGCGGAAGAGAAACTGATTTATTTTATTTCTCGAGAGTGATTTCTTAAAATCTGAGTCAGTGTTTAATGTTGTGTTTCGTTTTGTTTTAAGGAACAGACAACAGAATGTTAAATTCAGCCTGTGCTGCAGCTGCCTCGTTGATGTAGGTGGCCCAGGCACACCATGGCACCTCCGTGTACCTTTCTCAGGTGTCCTGGCAGAAATCGCCTGCTTTAAAGGAAGGATGTGAAAGGAACTTTTTAAATTTAGATTGATTTCTAATTTACTGGTAGAGAAATTGGGAGAGAAGTTTTAGTCATATTTTCCAAGACATGTTTGTTAGAAAATACTGTGGAAGGAATACCCGTAATCCACCTGAGAGCACTTTGTAACCCACGCTGCACCACCTGTGGTGTTGGCACGGTGGGCGTTACCATAACTCCCCCGCCAGGGCACACGCTGAATGCACACTCAATTAAGACGTGTTTATGTTGATCACCCTCCTTCCCTGAGGCGTCCATTTAGCCAGGTTTTTATTTCCCTCTCGAATCACAGATCTCCTCTAACTCTCCAACTCTTCCTCCTCACATCTTCTTAATTACACCGTCTCCACACGGAGGCCAGCCCTGCAGGCTAGCGCCTTAGACCTCCACTCCTGCTATACTTTCTTTTATTGAAAATGTATCTGCTTTTAAGACTTAAATTACTTCATCTCTGTAGATAACCCCTTAATCTGTCTCACATCTTGACCTCCTGGAGCCCTGATCCCAGCTCATCGGCTGCCTGCTGGGCACCCGCCCTGCTTCCTTCCGTTGCTGCGGCATTTCAGATCACTGGGCCCTTCCGTTTGATGCCCTGTCGTCTCCGTCCCTGCAGACTCGCTGTGTGAAACCTGCTGCTCACCACCACGGCCTTCTCCTCTCCCTCCTGATGTCCCGCTAGCGCGGCCGCCACTGATTCTGTCAAGCCCTGCTCTGAAATGTACTGTTACGTTCTTCCCCTTTCATTCTCTGTGCCGTCATCTGTACAGGCTGTTATTCCTGAATACCAGCCCTGATGCTGGGAAAGACCCTCCAGCGTTCACTTCCGCTCACATCTCCAAGTCGTTTCTCTCCAGCACTCCCACCCTCCCCCTTGAGGTCTCAGCCATCCTGAACTTCCCTCACCTCCTCTCTTACCACTTTCTTTACTCACCACACTGTCTGGGAGACCTGAGCTTCCTTCTGGCCAGTATATGAGAGTGAGTGTGCCTCTCAGAGTTAATAATCAAATCCAGCTTGGGTCCTCCCGTTCAAACTCTTGTGATGCTCAAGTCTCTTCTACAGGAGGTAGCTCTGTGTCCTCAGAAAGTCAAATGACACAGACTTTGTACGTCTCCCACAGTCCATCCCATTGGTAGGCAGTTCTATGTGGCAGAAGTTCTTTTCTACCATTTGGTTCTGAGCTAAAGAGAAAAGACTAAATCCTGTCCATAAACCACCTTTCAGATGGTTAAAGAGAGTGGTCCTGGCACGCACACTCCCCACCCAGGCCTCCTGTTTGCCTCCTGGCAGCTCCTCTTGCAGCCTGCTGCCTGAACATCATTTTCTCAGTGCCTTTCTTCAGGGTTGACCCATAGGTCTGACTCTTCTGCTCATACTGTGGTCTGACCCAGGGGAAATCACTTCCATGACTTTCCTTTATGCCATCCCACTGCCCTGAGCCTCAGGTTCCCATCAGTAAAATGAAAGGATTTCTTAATCTACGACAGGCTTTGGGGTTCCATGAATGCCTGAAAACTGCACGCAGCATTTCGTGCTTCATGAGCATATGTGAATTTTGAGGGAAAGGATCTATACATTTTTATTACAGTCTCAAAGAGGGTCCATGAGTCACAGAGAGCTTTTTAAAAATTGGACTAAATGATATCTGAGGTCCCTTCCAGCTCTAACATTCTATAAGTCAGAGGTTCTAAAACATATGACATTTCTCATTCCCTTGAGAGGAAGTCAGAGACCAAATATTACTAAGCCTATTATTCAGCGACAATGAAGAGGTAGAGTCTGACAGATCCCCTACACACAGTGTGATGCCAGCTGAAAAGGTTAGCACCAAACCTTTTCTGTCCTGTGAGGTAATCAGCTTCCTCTCACTGGAAATGTTCCAGCAGAAATTGAGTTATCACCTCTCCAGGATAATACATAAGGAATTTTTTAAATTATATAAAGAGCTGGTCTCTAAGGTCTCTTCTGAGTCAGGTTCTGGGCGAGGTAGGCTGCCTGCCTTTGCTCATGTTCTTCCCTGTGCTGAAACAACCTCTCCCTCCCCTCCCTCCTCGTTTTCACGTTCTATGGAGCCTTTCCCCTCTTCCAGTTTGATTAGTCCCACATCCTCCCATAGCTGTGTGGATCCCTCTGTTATAGCACTCACCGCATCCCAGACTCACTCCCTGCAGAAGTGCATGGGTATGATTCCCACTAGATTGTCAGTGCCTTGAGAGAGGGACTGTTATGTATCCTCACATCTCCAAGGCCTAGAGTGCTTGATACATAGTAAGCAGTTAATAATAAATGTTCAATAACTGCCCAGCCTGGGTCTAAGACCTTACGCAAGTCAGTCATCATTCTAGGCCTCCGTTTCCCCTCTGTCAAGTGGAAGGGCTAGGCCCAGTGCCCTCTCGGGGCTCCCTCGGTTCTCGGCCAGTGACTCTCTGTAAGTGTACTCCCTCACTTGTTTGCCTCACTCAGGCAGCAAACACATTTATGCACCGTTTATCCTCACAATGCACGCTAGCGCTTATATATTTATGCATT